CCCTAACCCTACAATGGTAATTATTGTAGTTTCTGAGAAACTGCAATAATTACCTTGCAGGGTTAACTCCTCCTCTAGTGGCTGGGTACCAGACAGCCATGAGATGGATTTCCGGGTGCTTATACAACTTTTGGTCGTCTAAATGACGCTGGACGTCCTTACGCTATGCATGAGGACTTTCAGTATCACTGGAATCCCCATAGGAAAGCACTGATGAATGCTTTCCTATAGGGAAATCCTAATGGGAGCACGGCCATTGCCGCGCATGCGCCTTAGGACGTCAGCCAGCAGGGGAGGAGTGTGGTCGGAGCCTGACCCAGCACCGAGGGACATAATCACTGGATTCAGGTAAGTTACTGAAGGTGAGGATTCTATCCGGCTTTGTTTTCCTGGCACTATAGAATCCCTTTAATGTACATGTTTGTACTCTATTTGGTTAGCAGATGAAATTAGAAACTCTTTGAAAAGTGACTCACACAGTATTACTCGCTATTATTCACTATAATGTGAAATGTTGAGAATTGAAAACAAAACAAACAGAGCATACAAATGTTAAAAAACAGATGTATTGAACTGTGTATATCTGGAGATAAAAAATAGTCTATATCAAATTAAAGCGTGTTATAAAGAGAGAGCCTATTTATAAATTAAATAAATAAAGATGACAAAAAGCCCTGGATGATGCTAGTGTACCATTTAACTGTAAAGGCAGTGCTATTGACAACTATTATGAGCTTTAATACATCGGGCTCAATTTTGTCACTGCTATATTGAACTAATACATCAAACAGGGAGTAAATAAGTACATAAGTTGGAATGAAAATACTAAACTACCACTGACAAATAAAGCCTCTTAATCTAAATCTAACGTCAGACCCAGTCCATATGTGAAATAATATGTTAACCTCAGGGGCGCCAGTATATAGAGTATTCTTTACCATAAATAGTATGAAGTAAAAAATAAAAGTCTGTAGATGAATATATAGTAGAAAGAAATATAAAGCATGGATATTGTGAAGCTTAGAATGCTCACAGCATATCCATGAAAAGAGTATTAGCCAAGAAAAATAGTAGAAACTAGACAGAACAGATAGTTTATGTATCCAACAACCTAGGTTGCAACAATATATCTGGTTGTAAAGGATACAGTAATGTCTGCCTAAACCATATTTTTTATCATATCCTATATGTACCATATGTACTTTTGTAATAGTTCCAATATTTTTACACTATTTTGAGATTATTTTTATTATACCTATATTTTTATATTATATTTTTATACTATATGTATAGGTTGCCATATATATTTTATATTTTTATTATTTTTTTATATTTTCACCATATTCTATATTTTTATACTATATATATTTTTATACAATAGGTACCACATGTACAGACTGTCATATTTTTGATATTCTTATATTTTTATTAGACTTTTACAATATTTTTATTATACCATATTTTTTATAATAGATTTTTATACTATACATTATATTTTCAGAATTATTACATGTACCATATGAATTATCGCAATAGTTTTAATGACATTTATTATACTTTTAGTATATTCCATATTTTTATACTATAGGTCTCATACGTATCTGTTGCAATACTTGCAATATTTTTATTAGATTTTTATAATATTTCTACTACATCTATTATTTGTAAAGATTTTTATACCTTCCATTATATATCATACTTTTAGAATCAAACAACTTTTATTGGTTTTCAAGATATTTTTCCATAATCATTTGTTATTTGCATTTCTTTCAGATATTCCACCATTTCAAGTATACCTAATTGTGATGTATCCATTATATTATATGTCTCACTTCATCCTTTAGAAAGTTCCGGTTATTTCAGATGGTCTGTTTTAATACCATATGTATCAATCCACTATTCAGCTTTGTATCATGTCATGTTTTTCTCTGCTAAAAGTATTTAATTTTCTGTCACTCAAAGTAATTCATTTTTAATTTGTAACAGTGTATGTATTAAGTGTTATTAAGATACACAATGACTAATTCCTTGTATTAACTATAAAAACTAATGTTATTTTTCCATTGAATCATGCACAGATAAAGTATGTTTATTATGTATCAATATGTGATACTTTATTTATGATGGAATAGATTGCATTTTATTTTTTTCTAAATTGTTTACTTGCTCAAGTTCTTTTACTTCAGTTAATTGAGGGTTAATTGATTAGAGCAAGAGAGTATATAAGAGGTCAAAGACTCTCTGATGCCATCCTCTGATGAAGTGATTTGAAATCACGAAACGCGTAAGGCAGGCATCTTCCGATCATCACAGTCAGTTCCCGAGAGAGAGCATTTGGAACGCATCCAGCCGCCGCAGTGGAACGCACGCGGCGAATACCCGGTGTCAGTGCAGCACGAGGCAGTCCACCTTCACCTCTGTCCGGCCGGCAAGAGAGTGTAATTTTCATCTATATATTTGGACCCTCAGTCTACTGTGACCCGGTACACCATATCAATCGCTCACGTGGGACTGTTTGAATTTTTATTATTAGTCTTTTATATTTTATGTGTGCTGTTTAGACAATAAACCATTTATAAATAGTTTGATGTCTGCTTCACATATATGAGACTAACTTCAGATCCTTTGGGATTTTTATTTAAAGACATACTTTTATTTTAAGATATACTGTTACTAGTGGTATTCTATACCTATGATATATATGTGGTATTGATTCTTAAGATTATAGGATCTCTACTATATTAACTCTTTTGCAGCTAGTGGATTCTACCTACCTTACTCTATAGGAGGTCCAGGTCCGACCAGCTGATACATTTTAAACCTCAGAAGGACTAACCTAGGATCATTTAAATTTGCTATTTCCACTGAGTCTAGTATTTATTATTGATTTATTTCAATAAGCACCCTCTATGTTATATGGTGGAGATCGATTTCCCATTTATAAATGTTGAGAATTGTAAGTGAAAACATAGACTGACAAATCATTTTTCCAATTAGGCTATTTTAACATAAAATATAAAATGTACTTTGAATTCCTGACATGTCAGGGGAATTTACTAAAATGTAAATTGTCTGAAATTGGAAGTGAATTTGAAATATCACACAGGAATAGCTCAAACAAAAATTCTCCAGGTCATCTTTGTTATCACCTGAGGAAGACCATTCACGGTCGAAACGCGTTGTGTTTATTATTTTTACCACTTATTCTTGTATGTTTGTTTTACTTTTATTTTTGTAATAAAATACAATATTTATTTTACTGCGGTTCCTGACTTTCATCATATCAATGGGACCCATCGACCAAACAACACGCTGAGTGGATACATTATACCTACTGAGTTCAGAGCCGACCTTAAGGGCTCAAAAATATGTGAGTGTTCTCCATATTTAATTTTATGGATATCACCTTTATACAGTCTATGCTATGGTGGTTTTCTGTTTATATTAATAGGTTTTATCCAGTCTACTGAGGCCGAAGTGAAGTATACCTAGCATTTTGTGCGCTATCACCTTATTTCTTTCCAAGACTTTATGTATGTATAAGTGTTATATTGGCATAGCACTTGGGTGATTTTTAGCTGCACGGTTTTAGGATACTATTGTGGCGCCATTGTCTTTCATTTTTTGTACATTTTTGTTATCAGTTTGGCTATTTTAGCTTGAAATTCACTTTGCAGTCAACTTTTAATTCCCGACAATTCACACTTTCGTGAATAAGCATGTGATTCACTTTTTCGGAATAACAGAATCTATTGAAACTTGTTTCCAACAAAATGTGTTTAAAACTGCATTTGATTCATTTATTGCTGCAAAACTGCTTTACTGGAACATCCTGTTTTCCTCAAAATCATGTCAAGTAAGCAGAAAAAAAGCCAACTTTCTGTCAATATCCTCTGTCAATGGGTAGAAAGGTTGAAAAGTGTAACTAACAGCTGCTAGCAAAATGAAAGTTCACACGAGATGCATCTGCAAACATTTCTTGTGAGATATAATGCATACCAACACCTGTAAAATGAGGGTATGCTCGACAAGTAAGCATTATTAGAGCTTTCGTAATGCTAAGTAAGCTAACACAACTTTTTGTCACTGGAGCTGCAATGACATCATGGCAACTGCATCAGCTATTCCATGACATCATAACACCAATAGCTTACAATGCGGAGAGACTGTCATGACCCTAATTCTATAATTGTGAAGCCCTTCGGGATATGTTGCTGCTCTATAAAAGCTAATAATAATAATAATAAGACTGACAGCTCCCAGGGCCCCAGGCAGTGGGGGACCAGGGGCCCCTTATAGTGCAATTATTTTCGGTTACTGCTACTCTTTTCCCAATTTTTTGTGCGCCTCTCACACAGATATAATGAGCGTGCTGCCCAGCGCCCAGAATTGCTGTATGAGGGCTGCACAGTCATGGCTCCCACACCCACAAGGCACAAAGCAGGGTGAGATTTACTAGTCAGGGGTTCATCCATAATCCAACCAGCAACAGTGTTTTAATAATACTGTTGGCTTGCTCCCCCATTAAAATAGAGAAATAAAGCAAATTTAATTACATGCTTCCACAGTGTTTGCTAGTGACATCACAAGCAGCATCCCCCATATGTGCAACCATACAAGTAGCCTTCAAACATGTGAGGCTGTATGCAGTATTGCATGTGTGGGAATGCTGCCTGTCATGTGTGTGTAGGGAGGCTGCTTGTGGTACTGCATTTGTGGGGACACTGCTTGTGCAACTGTGTGCATACACTGAGGCTCCTTGTTGAATTTATGTTTGGATGGGGCCTGGGCCAGACTGGGGAAAAAAATCTGGCACGTACATTTTTTAAAACAGGGGGCCACTGAGTAGGGATCAGGGCCAGCGAGGGGTGTGTCTTGTCATCACCAATGACAAGCATGCCCCCTCTCAAAGTGAGCATGTTAGTTCAATGCTCTTCCAGGGCAGCCCATGCACAAAGCCTTGGTGAAGAGATCTCGCATGAGAAAAGGGCCCTGTATTTGTTCTGAGCAGCGCAAGTACATTTATTAACATGCTTGCGCTGTGTTTGATTGTGATGTGTCTCTGGTGTCTCCATAAGTGGGATACCAGAGGACAAAAGGGCCAGGGAAGGGTATTGTGCATGTTTTGGAGCCTGCTTGTGGTTTTGTGTGGGCATAGTAAGCCGATTGTGGTGTGGTGTTTTGTGTAAATAGATTGGTTTTAGTTGTGTTGTAATATGTGCTGCAGAGAGTGAAAAAAACCTTGCGAGAGGAACCCGGCGGAGCTGTGAGCTAATAGCTCCTGGGTCCTCTGTGCTCTCCCTTCCTCCCACACCGGCGGTCCTGTTAGGTGCCCATGGGCTGGTGAGGGCGATTTTTTTATCTCTCCATCGACCCATGAAGGCACACAGCAGGGCCGGCGCTCCGAAAGCGCAGGATCTGTATGGGCCAGCAGGGGAGATCTCTTGATCTCCCTTGTCGGCCTCGGCCCATGGCCATTGCGGCCCACTGGGCATTTGCCCGGTATGCCCAATGGCCAGTCCGGGCCTGCATGGGGCTTTTAAGAAATGTAGTATGTGAGTGGAGAGGGCAGTGTGTGGATAGAGCTGAATGTTCAACATAGAGATGCACTGATTCAATGCATCTCTGTAAGGGGATGCTGATTGATGCAGTGCTGCGTTTTGCCGCGCATTAACCTAACAAATGCTTTACACACTCACACACACACTCACACATTCATACACACACTCACACATACACACACAAGTGATCTTTTTTTTCTTTTTTTTTTTATATCACCAGCCACCCTCCTGTTAGCTTATGTGTCCAGGAGGGTGGCTTAGATTCCTGCTGGCTGATGTGAGTGAGGGGTCTGGAGCAGCTCCTGCAGTGCTCCTCTCCCCTCATGCTGAGGCTGCAACGTCTCCCTTTCCATCACGTGCTGTCTCCCTGCATGACGCCGTGGCACTCAACCGGGTCCCTATTGAGCAGTCATGTTTCCCCAGTGCTATAATCATTGCAATGGGGAAACATTCCGCGGTGCCATGTTTTAAGGTATCTTTGGCTAAGAATATAAACTTGTTTAACTGCAAGTACCATTCTTTATTTTTGTGTTACATCCTTAGTGCAAAGGGTTCATGCTTTCTTGTCTGTAATCAATAGGTAAAACAAGACAGTTTGTAATAGTGCAAACAGTTGCGCCAAAACAAAATCATTGTTTGTGCCTTTCAGTTTTGCAGAATGATTCAAATGCCTATCAATCTACCACCACTATAGCCTCTGAAGCTCTTGCACTTAGCTAAGTCTGCCAGTTCTAATATGTGTTAATTGGCTGAGAGAACTCAAATGACACTCAAAGCCAATACGCCCTGCACGCCGTGGGGCTTACCCAGCTCCAGGGAAGGTGGCGATGGTTACCCGGCGATGGTTACTACTTACTGTGGGAGGGCGCCAGCAAGTGTGTATTCATTGTTTGTGAAAATATGATTAACTTATGTGACATGAGTAGAGTATGCATGGAATGGTTACCATGGAATGGCTACCTTTAACTAGACCTATTGGGTTACATGTTGTTGGTGTCTAAAAAATACAATTCAATGGTACAGCAAGTTTTATTTTCATGTTTGTAAATCAAATAGTGTAGAGAAATTTACAGCTGGTCGTATAATAGGCTGTCAGACACAGCGTGACAAATGGCACCACACTTACAATGTATACTGTAAGTTCAGTGAAGGGACATTCAATTAAAGTTCTTAGTTTGGAAGTGATTTTAGATGCTATATTGTTTTTGGGGCATTATGTATAAAATATGTATCATGTTTGGTCTGAAAGTAAATATCTGGATTCACTGAGATGCTGTGAAGTTGTTACAAAGACAACAGATAATTGCCTCTCATAAAATTCGAATTACTGCACCCACACCCCCAGCTGCTCCTCAAAATGAATGTGTAATTTATTTCCATGTTCCTTACCAAAGGTTTCTTTGGACAGAAAAACTGGTACTTTACTAATGTAGTGAGTAATGAGGTTTTCTGTTAATTTTCTCACTTTTTATTTTCTGTTTGTTGGTTTATGTAATTTAGTTTGTACCTTTTTTTTTATTTGCGTGCACTGTGACTATAATCTGTTCATAATAAATGTTCCTTTATTCTTATTATTAGGTTCTGCCTTTGTCTGGTATATAAATAATGTTACTGAAGAGACTTATAGAATAGTACTAAGACTTTGTAGGCAGTTCTACTAAGCTGTATTTTGTGGGTTTTTAAGTCTGATTTGGTGGGGAAACCTAAGGGGCACAATTTATAAATTGCCTTGGTGGCATCAGCTTTTATAGGTGTAGGAGGTGTTAAGAGGGACTTTGATCATTATTTTCGATCTAGTGCAGATAAATTGTGGGGTTTTTTTTAACCCTTTTACCCACTGAAGTAAGTCACGCACCTGGATGAGAGTGGTGGTGTTCACCAGTGGGCATGTATCACAAATATGAGCAGCCATATTGCTAAAATGGAGGACACTACAACAGAGGTTTAATTGCTCTTCAGAAATAATTCAGCTGTTGCTTCTGCATATATTATGCCAGTGTCTGAGGGCACACAATAAACATTCTGGCACCAATGACAAACAGCGCTACCAATCAACAAATGCTATCCTTTTTCCACATGCGCAAAGTACAGTGTTGCTAGAGAGTCCGTAATATGCAGTCTGTGGTGGAATGCACTGAAATACAACTTCCCTGGCCATGACCCTTCGAGAAGGCATAATGAGCCATCAGGTAAACTGTTCTCAGCAACAATGGGAAACAAAAGTTTCACTTCAATGACATGCAGGAAATTCTGACATTTCTCTACTACTGAGCAAAAGGGTTCTGTTTTTGTGACCCCATCACTGCCTTCCATCAACCTTTACTCCACTTTCATACACATCTATTCTACAGAGAAATTTCTAGGCTTGCAAACTCGTGTCATGACTTCCCTTATCTTTAAGCTATTCTGATAGTTTCCTTTGTAAGAAAAAAAATATGGAAACACGACACATAACTAATAAACGTCTCAGATATCAGGCCTTGACCTGAACACCTCTCAGGAAACGTGGTATCCGTAGTGTAGTATACAAGGGAAAGATGTGGCGACAGACATACAACAACAGACGCACACGAAGCAAGAACAGGATCAGAACAGAGATAATATAAACAATAGCACTTAACAATGAATGAAGATAGAAAAAAAGCACCATCAAGATTAGAAGAGTAATTTCAAACACCATAATCACTACACTATGTGCAGTCGCTATATGTGCAGTTCCAGGAAGTCTGTCTCAACTTGGCATCATCCAGGGGGTAATGACAATTTGGCATGGCCTATTCCTGATAGTTTGTACAAATAGTTTGGATGGAAAATAAGGAAATAAAAGAGTCTTATCAAAGGGACACTATATGCACCTAGACCACTTCAACTCATTGAAGTGGTCTGGGTGCAATGTCCTTGTCCCCCTTAGCTCTGCAATGTAAATCATTGCAGTTTTAGAGAAACTGCTATAATTACATTGCAGGACTAAGACTGATTCTAGTGGCTGTCAATCAGACAACTTAGTTTGGCTAAATTGCCAAGGCGACTTCACGTAAAGCTGGACTTCCTCACGCTCTGCATGAGGACATCCAGCATCAGTAAACTCCCCATACAAAAGCATTGCAGAAATGCTTTCCTATGGGGAAGGACTAATGCGCTTGCTTTAGCCTCCCCCGTCGTATGACGTCAGAGGAGGCGGAGAAGGGAGACTGGCGCTGGAATTGGATGAGTACAGTAAAGTTTTTTTAACCCTTTCAATGTCAGGGGGAGGGGCCGCGAGGAACAAGGGGGCAGACAGAGTTATAGTGTAAGGAAAAGAGATTTGTAATTCTTACACTGTAGTATCCCTTTAAAACATTTGTGACAAGGTCTGCACCCAAATACTCCTTGCATTAAGTACAAGGTATCTGATGACCAATTGAACACTTTGGACAGCTTTATCAATACAGATACTATAAATAGTGGATATAAACATTGTATGATTTGTTTAGCTATGTCCAAATAAATTTTGGAAAGAACTTTAAAAATGCTTATTTAAAGGAACACTATAGGGTCAGGAACACAAATATATATTCCTGACCCTATAGTGTTACAACCACCATTTAGGTGGCTTGCCCCTCCTTAGTCCCTCTAGAAGCAGTTAAAACATACCTTACTTCCAGCGCCACACTAATCTGTGGGTGCTGGCCCCGCCCTCGATCCACCTCCTTGGTGATAACATCAGACATCATACGTAAAGCCTTGGATTGTCTGAAATTGGCAAGAGGGCGGGATGGATGCTGAGCCAAACGCCTTTTTGACTAATTAGCACCGCCTCATAGAGATGCCTCGAATTAATGCATCTCTATGAGGAAAATTCAGCCGTGGAGATGCTGAATGGCAGTGCTGCCAACTGTGCAGCACTGCCCAAGCAAGCACCTCCAGTGGTCATCTGAGGAGTGGCCACTGGAGGTGTCCCTAGGGGGCAATGTAAACACTGCCTTTTCTCTGAAAAGGTAGTGTTTCCATGAAATTGCCTGCAGGGAATGATTATGCTCACCAGAACAACTACATTAAGCTGAAGTTGTTCTGGTGACTATAGTGTCCTTTTTAGAAATAAAACACATAATTGCCCAGATAAAAAAACACAACTGTTCAAAGGTACCAATAAAATAATCTAAAATAAACAAATACCAGAGTCTACTATAATGATGAACCAATATGACTGCCTGCACACCAAGTAGGGGTGGTACTTGGATAAATATGCTTGAAGCGATGCCTTGAACACTATTTTTTTATCATCATAAATACTTCATATGAGGGTGGATATTTCCCTCCTTTGTCAAACCGGGCACAGGCTGTCTTTGCCATGATCAGCAAATTTTTGGTTATGTGTAAAGGTATCTCAGGAGCTTTGGTTGCTGAAGGAACTCTCCTTATGTATCTAATTGAAAAAATGATTATCTTGTCAAATTAGAAGATAAGGATCTAGTTTTATGAATTTTAATCTATTCCATTTAAAGTTAAAACCAAACCACATTCAGGAAAAATAATAACAAATACCTAATAGACAGATCTATGGAGATACTAGTGCATACATTGTAGTATAGAGCAGGGCTTGACAAAATTGTTTGGAATCTAGTAACTTAAAAAGTTAGGAGCCAGTTTTTTTAAAACTAA